TGTGCTCTTCAATATGCAATTGAGCTCATTCGGTTTGGTTCTGGCAAAGTGTAATTAATTCTGTTTTGAATGTGAGTGAGAGTGACTCTTTTTTTGCCCCCCCCCCCTGTATATGCGTGAAATGAAATTTGCAGGAATTTTGCTTTGTACTCATGAACTGTCCCGCCGAAAGTTTTGAGTAGGGCATTCGCGCGATTCTTTGTCCACATCAGATATTTAGTCCTTTATAGAGTCTAGCTGAGCTTTTACCTTCTTTGGTGCATGGAAATCCAGGACAGAAAACGCGTTTCTGCGTTCAATATTTATCGTGCTTGTAACTGTAGTCTTCGAATTTTCGCTCATTCCTTCTGAGATGCTTACGAACTGATTGCAGCATTGCCTTTGCTCACAGGAGCTTTTGTTACGTTGAAATGCTGCTAGATGTTGTGTAACAGAACCTCTTGTCGCTTCAAGTCGAGGATTGGCATAGAGTGATGTGGTTGTGCCACTAATTTTGGAACCTCATGATATTTGGTCTCTCAGAAAATAACGCTTTCATTTCCAGTTCAGATTTATTTGACTTACCAGCACACAAGGTTGACAATGATTCCGTCGGCTAAGGTTTCGGCGATTTCGCCTTCTTCGGAGCCTAAAAAGGTGGAAACCAATTCACGATTTATCCGACCAATGTCTCCCTACCCTACGAGACCTTCGAGACCATCTAAACCATCACATAATTGATAGGCAGATAAAGTACCGTGCCTTCCAGATCAGTCAAATAAACTCGTACTGAAACTATGCCGAGGTTCATCGATAGTCGAATATGCAATATATACAGCTTTCATTTCCCGTTGACGCCCAACAAAAGAGCACGATAGATGTTTGACAAGATCTTCTCTGACGTTTCATTTTCGATACCTCTGCCCTTCACTCTTCCAATAATATTTGCAGATCATATACAGGGCTGCTACTCTCATTCTTGAGGTTACCGTAATTCACAAAAGCGAGACATATTCCTATCGGGTCGGCGAGCTCGCCGTGAATGCAGGACCAACTGTAGCTGTAGTACCAGCATCATCCTCTTGCCGAAATATTCTACAGCAAAGTGCCCTATTTTGGAAGAAATTCAAAATAATATCGTTTAAAGGCAGAATTTACGATGAAAAGTTAGCTCATTGGAAATAAGGGTAGAGGTGGTCAGTGGAGCAGGGATGAAGAAGAAACCATTTGAAACGGCCCGAAACCCGAGAAATGGGACCCTTCCTTGCCCGTTGATTTGCGCATTGATGCGACTCTCATCGCTGTGCCTCTTCAACACTACTCTGCTATCTAATCACTCGCCACGTATAGACCTGCGGCGAGTGATTAGATAGTCGGTGGGCGTACCCCGCCAACCGCGCCAAGAGTGAGCCATGCTAGATCGCCGAGGTCAAATCTTTCGCTGCCAATTGCGCGTCGGTCAGCACCCTCAGGAGGTCCGCCTGTCTCCCAACTATGCAATTTTCCCCTTCTTTGACCTTCGTTCTTATCGTGAATTCCTCCTTTAATATGGTCGGAAGGCAATCTTGACATGGTTTTGAAGCAGTTCCTTCCCCAAGAGCTGCCTACGAGAGTTAAAAAATTAGTTCAAGAGATGTGTATATTTAAGCAATGTGAGGGATGGCTGAGTTCAAACTCTTTTCCGACGGATTTCACTCGTAACATTTTAAGAATTGTCATCTGACAGCATGGTGTAAAGGGACCAGACCTTTTCTTTTGCCTGGTGTAGGGCACGCAACCTACCGTTTCTCGTGCACTGCGCTCACTTCTTGACGGCAGGGCCGTGCTGCCATCGACTGACCCAGTTCTCGGATGAACTACGCCTACGGTATACAACTAAAGTTTGACGATGATTTTCGTTGAATCTGCTCCGGATTTTGCCTTTTTTCAGAGCGGCTTATTCTCGTCTTCCCATTCGGCAACGATCCCGCTGTTGGCGTGCAGAACCCTGGTTTTATAATAAATTACGCTATTGCCTGCTCCGAAAGCGGCTCCTTCTTGTTGTTGTGAAAAGTTCATATGTAGCGTCATGAGCCGAACTGTCACAGAGTGTAAGTTTGAGGGACACATTGAGTTTTCTCCTTGCTCATCTAGTACAGGTGGCTATGCACGGCGCCTTCACCATTTCCGAGCTCTTTATATCTAGTAAGTAAACTTAAGGTTCACAAATTTACCAGAGCTCTTATATTAGAACTAAACTTTAAGGTGCCTTTATACTGTGCATTCTCAGTTAGCAATCAACGACTTCGCTATTTTCTTCAACTTAGAGGCTAGGTCAATTAGTTCAGAAATTTGTGATAGGCATTGGTTTTCAAAAATGGAGGACGCCAAGATTGGTAATCAGTAAGCTTCCATATAAAGAAGGAGAAGCAGATTTTTTCTAGGGGATTACGCAAGTTGCCAACTACTTTCTTTTTTTTTTGTATTTATTCCCAAAAGAATATATGTAATCGAAGTTACAAAATGGAGAAATTATCGTGACTGCCCCCCCCCCCTCCCTCAACACCTAAAAGGATCGAATTCCGTATATATAATGAGAGTCGAAGAAAGATCAATGTCACTTAAGTAGGACACGCGGGACCTCTTAAGGGTGACGAACTGAAGCGCATACATTATACGAAGTTGACCTATTAAGGTTTAATCCCGCCGCGGCTGGTCAGTGCACGCCCACCGATCATCTGATCACTCGCCGCAGGTCTATACGTGGTGAGTGATTAGATAGGTGAGAGAGCGTAGCGTTGAAGAGGGCACAGCGATGATAGTCGCATCAATGCTCAAATCAACGGGCAAGGAAGTGGTCCCATTTCTCAGGTTCTGGGCCGTTTCGCATGGTTTTTCCTTCTTTAGTGTACCACTCACCATCGCTAACTTAATTTGAAATGGGTTGCCTTTCCAGCGTGAATTCGTCCTTTAAATCATAACGAACTGAACTGGATGCCTTCGGCAACTCGACGTTTCCGAGAGATGGGTGAAACGATGTGCACAACGCTTGTGACATTCAATGCTCAATTGGAGAGCTGATGCCGTCCTATCTGTAAAAATGTTGACGCTCTAGCCTAATGATCGTCTCATTAGGTTCTTTTTACTTAAGTAGAGGAGGCTCTCAGTTTACACCCCGTATTCGTCCTGAAGGTTAGTTCATATATTCTTAATATGTCCAGCTAACGATCTTTAGGACGGAGAATAATAAAGATTTTCATCTGCAATGTTACTGCATGCCCCATATACGAAACGCCTTCAGCAGTGTGGAATATTTCACAAAGTATTGAGGCATTACTGGTGTATTGGAGTAAGAGGTCAAAGTTTTCTATCTATTCTCCAAAAAGCAATAGGGAGGAAATCGATCCAAAAGCCTCTTGCTGTGAGCCTGGATCACCAGCGCTTTTGTGCCTCACACCTCTCCTCAGAGGCTCTTTAGTAGATAAGGAAAGCAGCACTGATGTCAGCGTCTCAAGAAGGTAACGGTGTTCAGTTCACTTCAGATGGCTGGAGTGATCCTGTACCTTTCCCTGGTCAAACAATATGCTGTTTAGTTGTTATATACGTCGGGTTGGAGCTAGCTATCTAAGATCGTGCTTAGATTCCATTTGAATCGCCCAAGTGGCAAGCCCTAAAAAATTTGTGATTATCAGAGGTCAGTCATTGTTACTTGATTGCTCTATAGAGCAATATCCATCGCTATCAAGGCGAGTTATTTGAAGATTTTTGCTCTTATGCCACCTGGGAATGTCCATCGTTCCTGTCAGCTACTGATTACTATTGACTGCAGACAAAAAGCTGACTATCAGGAGAGGACATATGTCTCGATGCATACAAAGAGAGGGTTGCGAGGCAACTTGAACTACCTGATGTGCGGACGGGAAGAGAATGTGTAACCTCCTGCTAAAAATGCAATGTTTCGTTAAGTCAGTCTTGTCCAGCAGAGGTGACGTAGTGACTGAAGCATCCTTTTGGTCCCCATTAACGATTCCGCTATCACTCCCTGATCAATGCATATTTTGGTACTGAACGTTCGAATAGATCAATGAAAATGACTTGGATATTTGGTGACTTTCCAAGTGGGCCTACAAACCCAGAACAACGTAGAAGATGTCTTCGTTTGTAGATGGAGGAGAGTTATAACTGGCGATAAGCAGAATCATTCTCATCTTGAATGGTCAGGGAAGACGATTTCGCGATTGATTGAGGAAAACCCCGGTGAATTACAAAAAAGTTGATAACACAATGGCACAGTCTATCTTGCTTATTTGCCTTCCAGTTGCACGCATTTACATGGTCAAGCGTTTGGCTCAGTACACGATAATTTATCGATACAATATCAACCAAAAATCAGTTGGCGGAGTGAGAAGTTTATAGTAGGGATGTAGTGTCATGTCTCTGACAGAGAGGTTTCAAGGAGCGTAATCCCGTTTTCAAAGTGCAAAAGGCAGAGATACTGTGCTGGTTCGATCCCCGTGAGGACTTAAATATTCATAGTGCCAACATGTTGCTAACTTTGAATGTAAAATTTTGACTCCTCCGCGAATCGATCGATTAACAGGTCTACTTTTTTGGTACTACCAGAAGCGTTTAGCGAAAACGAAACATGGTTTTGTGGTCCAACTGCGTCTCTACAACATTCAAGACACCGTTCTGAAGAAGAGGGGTTTGCCCTGAAGGATCGACCCCCTTGTGAGAAAAAGGTCGAGCACACTCGCCGCAGTTGACTCGGGTCAAATTTCAAGCCGTGTTTATTTTTGTTTATTTTCAACTCAGAGGAAATTACTTCACTCTCCTATCTATAAGTTTCCCGTTTTTTTCTTCATCTAGCTGAGAAGAACAGGTGCTGCCACACTCGCTGGTAACCGTCACAGGTGCACCATTCCCATTTCTCTTTCATCACTACCAACCTGTACTTTTTGCAGTGTCGAAGCAAAATGCTCACATTTAACTGTCCAGTCGCTTGTGAGCGTTTTGAACAGAATGACAGGATGATTAATGGCATGGATTCCCCCCGGGACTCGATGGCAGACGGCTGTAAGATGAAAGGAGCACTCGGAAAGATAAGGTACGAATGGCTGCATTTCGACGAGTGACACGACTTGAGTTTATGTATGGGGAAATGGGACAGAATTCCAGTATTGTATAGAAAAATTGAGAAGGGCCTGACGTCGATGTGAGGCATTTTATAAATTGGTTGTGAGTAATGGGCGGAGCGCAGAAACCTTTCAGAAAGTTCACCTCGATAAGGGGTCCAGATGCGTGAGGATCCCAGACTTTTGCCCTGATCTGGATCCGAGCAGAAGTGAAAGTGACGTTGCCAGCAGCCTTAGCAAGCTACGACGAGGAGGCGTGGCCGTGGCGTGCGGTGGACGCGCGCGGCGCTCGATCCCCCGTTTGTCAGAGTCTGCGATGGAGGGTCTGGAAAGCGGTGGTTTAGCTGCTGACCCTTTGTTGAGTGCGGCCCTCTCATCCCCTCTCGGCTCCTCTCGGGAGGATCTATTTCTACATGATTTCGCCAGATCAAGTCCACATCCTGGCACTTTATTCGGGTAGGTTTTCGCTTCATTTTATTCTTTATGGTTTTTTCGCAGTCCATTTCACATATGCGTCTGCTAGCTCCTTTTGAAGGATCTCTAAAGAGTTTCTTAACCGTTCTTTCGTACAATTTCTTAATTGCCTCCGTTATATTCGAAGCTCACTGTCCCTAATTGGGGCTATAAGTGCTAAGTCGAACGCGAAAGGTCTTCAACGTTAGCGCTCACGGTGTCCCAAAAGCTATTTCTCACAACATTTTCAACATCTATTGAGACGGTTCGTTCGTTTGCCATTCATGGCCGGTGCGGAGCAGGAAGTGCCGACGACAATCGTCCGCTCGCAATGAAAGCCATCAACGAATCGAATCACGCACGCAACCGTTCTGTGAATGTGGCCTAGGGTGCTTGCGCGAATAAGCACCTTCAGATGGTGGGGAATTCGTTGAAAAAGTCGAAATATTCCATGATGGTAATTTCCATACCGTAGAGCTTTTCCCCTTTTCTCCTCTTGAAATGTGCCAAATGGTATGCAATGGTACCGTAATTTTGTCTCACCATCTTTACGTTGCCCAATTTGTCAGGCCAGGGTCCACAAACGTGAAAGAAAAACGCGATGCAAGTTACTGTCACTAATTACAGTAACTACGCGACGTTAACAACGTTGCAACCACTGCCGCCGATTTCGACCGTCACCTCCAATGGCGATAAGTTCAGCAGAACTTCATCACCTTCGAGGGAACGTCAATCCAAGTTCGTCTACTCACATTGGACCTTCATTTTTTCCTTTTTTTCATGTTCATTCATCCTTTTTCAGCTATTTCTTCCCTCCATCTAGTCAGTCCTATAACTACAATGTGAATATCAAATACGAATACGATTTGAAGAATGAAGATGATTCAAACGATTCGCCTACCGGTAAGGCGTGAAGTTTCCTGGGAAGGCCATTTCGTGGCTATTGAATAAAAAATGTGGATTCCTATTAATTTTAGGACAACCACCCAGCTCCACTCCGTCCGAATATGCACAGTCACATGTCTCACAACCTACAGATAGCACTTTCTCGTCGACTAACTTCGTTCCGGCCTACTCCGGTCTTGAAATTAGGTGAGCACATCCATTTTTTATCTCTGTTCCCCCTTAATGGTGATATCGATTTAGGTCGCCTAAGCTCGAAAAAGAGTGTTTCTTTAATGGTTACACGAATGGCGACTGTGATATAGATGACGAGGTGAAATGCTTCTTCGCGCCATTAAAGTTAAGGTGTCAGGGCTGTTTTTCATCCATAGGCTCTTTCAGTCTGCATGTATGACGAATAACTGCTCACCGCTGGCCAATGGACATGGTAGTCCTGAAGGAGAAGAAGATGACGATGGCGAAGAACTCAACACTAAGGTATAATTTTTCTGAATCCTTCAAAGATCCTCGAAAGACTTCATTTCCCATTCAGGATCTGGCACAAAGGATATCAGCCGAGCTGAAGCGATATTCAATCCCTCAGGCGATTTTCGCCCAGAAAATTCTTTGCCGGTGAGTTTCTTTGTTCAAGCTGGTCCTCCCTGCTTTTCTGAAGTTTCTTTTCTCTCGATAATCTCGGCGCAAGGCGAGCTGTGAGCCATAACATGATTATACAATGGTGTGTGTGCCAGTTGGCTGACGCTGATTGCACCATGGCGTAGAGCCAAAGTCGATTTGCTTTCGATCATCGGCTCCAGCAATTTGAATTGGGGATCCTTCCCGATGTAACGGGACAATTTCCATCTCGTCACACCGCTCCCATCATTCTTCGTTTTTCAGGTCCCAGGGAACGTTGTCAGACTTATTGCGCAATCCAAAGCCGTGGTCTAAGTTGAAGAGCGGCCGAGAGACGTTTCGACGGATGGCCAAATGGCTGCAAGAGCCCGAGTTCAAGCGCATGTCTGATCTCAGAATGGCAGGTTTGTCGAGTCTGTCTCTCGCATCATTTTCTCTCGTCATGTCCGCTCATACCCCCTCTTGCCTCTCTGTTTACGGCGAATCTGTCATCATTCGCCACGCTACCTAATCTCTTGGGCATCCACCAGCTGGCGTTCTTAGTATCGCGGAAACAACTGGCTTTCCACATTGAAACGCTGGATTCGGAAATTCGCTAGTCATTCATGCAGGCTGAGCCGCAACGCTTTGTTCTTATGAAGCAACTCATGCGCGATTCCCTCCATTCACGCGAAAACCAGGCATTGGGGTAGTTGGATGGACGAGAAGGACTTCGGAATCTCTCAGCAATGTTCCACTCTTAACTGTCAATGCGCGCTCAGCTGAAATTGTACTTGTCATGGAAATCAATAGATAACTAATGTTAATGAGCATCCAGCTGTACCCGACAGATGGTGTGCCATGTACGGGGTTGAGGTCATGGGGCGCGAGAGGCGCACAAGCGGCATCGGTCTGGCTCTCCTAGCCGGGTTTCTCAGAGAATCATCGCAAATACACCTGCTGAACAAGAAAAAGGAACGCCTGCTTTCTGGCTTGCGCTTTCGTTCCGTCGAGAATTCAAGGAAACCCCGTGCATTTGATGAAGTCTATCACTGTTAATATGAAATAATAGCATTGATTAGGGCTCTTGTCCTTGGGAAAGTAGTATCATTATTACGTGAAAGTGCTATGAACAACCTGCCTCTTATTCACACCTGTGCACCAGCCCGCGCCTTCAGGTCTACAACGAATGCGTAATATCGTCACTAGGGTTCTATCCATAATGATCTGGAAGTTGAATAGTTACTCTCTACCCCGACTCGGCAACGAGAGGCAAGACAGCGAGAGGAAGAGGAGAAAGCGAGGGCGGCGTTTCTCATCTTTCTCGCGTTACAGTATGCCTCATGCGCCAATCGGAAATCGATGTGCTTGAGGGGTACGAGCGAGAGAGAGTGGACATGAAGCAGGGTGAAAAGATAAAAGGCGAGGCCCCCAAGGGCGACTGGAACTACTCGGCTGCCAACGACCACCGATCTGGGGACCTACAGAGAACAGCCATTTCAGTACAGCTGAATTCGATTGCAGTGATTCTGAAGGCGTTGCGATGGAGAGCGAAATCTCTAGAAATGAATTGAAAACCAGCGGAACGCACATAAAAAGCTGGCAAATCGAAGTCGTCTAGCGTTAGCGCTGGAATCGATACATTAGCGGCTGCTTATTTCGGTAGTAAATTAAGCGTGGAAACAGCAGAAGAAATGACGACATCATCACTTTGCTTTGAGAGGATGACGCGTGTAGTCGGTTTCTTTTCGGCTGTCAAACTCCCTTGCCAGCCTAACGGTGTCCGTCGTCGCTTTTTGGCTTTTTTTACCCGACGTCCTGTGGACAGATGGGTTCATGCAGTGACGCCTGTCTCATCATGCTTTTCGGTTGCCAAGATGTCTTTGGCGACCTTCTCTTGGCGCATGTAATGCGATCCTCGGCCCTGTTCCAACATCCATTTGGAGCGCCACTGCCAGCTGTCTGCTGACTCAACCCTGAATCCCTGAAGTGTGTGAGAAATGGATCATTGACACAAGGAGGGTCAAAAACAGGGACTTGAGCTTCGAAAGGAAGCTTCGGGAGTTGTAGTGGCAGCAACCAGTCATGCGTGACTGTGCGCACAATAGGTTCCGCTGAACTCTCGACCTCCATCTGTTCACCTCATTGGCTCTTTCTGCCCAGCGCACGCTCACCACGCTCATTATGTGACTGAGGTGCGGGGGGCTCAACGTCGGTTTTTGGCATTGCATGCGCTTTCATCCCCAGTTTTCATCATTCTCCGGGCTAAAAACCATGCCTCAGACTGCCTCTTCAGACGATTTATGGAGGGCCAAATCGGCAGGCTGCACATGGCAGTTTCTGTGCCGAGTTTGCTTTTTGCCTTGTTTTATTGGGATGATTAGTTTTGCTGATTTCTACGTAATGAGTAAATATGTACTGACGAGCCTCGACAGTGAATGGAGGGTTGAACAGGGCCAAAGAAAGCGAAATTTCCACAAACGGTTTCGCAGGTGAATTTCTGGGTTGGGTAGTGGTCAGAAAAGCAGGAGCTGGACTCATGGGGTGCTGAGCCGTAAACAAAGTGATTTTACTCCCGAATCCTGATACAACACATCAAAAACAAGGTATATGGTAATTAAGAATCCCTGAAAAATCGATAAGTGCGTTGCAACATTCGCAAATGTACGGCCCTCAATCATCTTTTCAACCTCTGTGGGATTGACGCCCAACTCGTAGGCTCACCTACTCTCCAAAAGGGCGCAGCGTTGTTTGTTTAGAGGATGGCCGGCGATGATTGAGTCAGACGGCTGACTTCAGCAGATTCCGAAGCCACACGCAGTGGTTTCCAAGACAATCGAGGTGATGTGGGGGAGGAATGACAATAACGATGATCATCAGTGAGAAGACCAATTACGCACGCAATCGTTTTGGGCATGAACTCGTAACAGCTAACCGCTCAGCGCCCAGCGCCACAATCAAGCCGCGGCAACCGTCACCATCGCAGCGGCCGTCGTCTAATTGCCTTGTGGTGATGAATATATTCACAACTCCTCGTGCTTTTCTGAACCATTTTGCTGAGCCGTCAGCTGTAATCAGTTACAAAAAGAAATTGTGGTCTCTGTTGTTGAGCCGATTTTACTACATAAACTCCCCAGCTCAAATTATGTGACTCATTCAAGCATGCGGCAACCTACCCTCCCTCGCGATTTTGTAAGATTTCGAAACCTTGCTTTGCGCTTTCATGTCAACACACTTAGAAAGTCTTCGAGCAAGGGAAATTTCTCCTTACACGGAATGGGTAAAATGAATGTGACTGAGTCCAGAGTTCGATAGTACACCGCCTCAGTCGACATGACGGCCAACGCTTTCCGTACCACATTCAGGGGCTAATTACTGAACACTGAAGATATTCTGCACATTCTTGCAATCAGATTAGTGGCTTGAATTGTTAAAGTGTTTTCTTTCGAAACTCAGGGTTGTGTTTTTGAGGGGGAGAGAGGAGTTCATACTGTGAATGGCGAACGAAAGACTTGCATGGAAATATGGAGAATGTGGTTTGTTGAACCGATCGCTTTCCACAACTACATGAATGCGCTTCAGAGTTATGATCTTGATTTCTCTTCAAAGGAACAGGTTGTGGGGAATTTCCCAGAAATAAAAGTATCAACCTTTCTATATCAGTATTTATAGAGAGCAGCTGGAGACAAGAATATTTGAGCATTTCTTGATTGGAGAGCGCTCTCTAAGTTTGGCCGTTCTTAAGCTTCCCACGTAACAGTTACTACTCACTGAAAGATCTTTTTAGAACGAATGTTAGGTAGGCGCAGATGCTCAGAAACTGGAGCAGCCTATCGCCCGCATGGTACGCGGTAGCGCAATCTGACAACTAAACTTCCTTTCTATCTGACTTGTTGGCGGAACGCTAATTGAGAACATCCTACTTGAAACATGGCAAAATTCTCAGCTGCGTCCAGCGGTGAGATAGTGAGCGACACTTTTGACGCTCAACCTTCTGCATAGTTAAGGCCATGTTAATGGATTTCCAAAAGGATGAGATCCGAAACACAAGAAGATAAACATGATAAAGCAAACCGCTTTTTCTTTCCTTTTTCGAATAATTTATGAACCAACTTTTGTTCAAAATTGTTGCGCAATCAGAAAACGATTTGGTATATGTTATTTTGCGTTGAACCTTTAATTGAAGGCTTCGTTCTTTCTCCTCCCAACCTACCATCCAGCCGACCATGGAGTGATGATGAATACTTTTTAGACCCACCTTTCAACATAGACCTCATTCCGTGTACCCTCCCCTTCAAAAAGCGAGAAAGTGTCGGGTGCAGACCATGCACCACAAGTGACGACGGCCTTTACAAAATGTTAATGTTTTCTGCCAATGAAATGATTAGCCTGTTGCAGTTGTATTCTATCGATTGTCACTAATTACAACTATCATTTACCAGTCTGCGTATCACTATGAACAACTTTAAACCAGATTTACTTGGAGGCCGTCGTCAGTTTTGGTGTTTATTCTGCACGCCGTCTTCACTTTTCTCGCGTATTTTGGAGGTTTACGGTATCTTGGGCTTACGCCGGCCTGCCTACCACGATCATATCCCAAAGAATAAACTGAAGTGATGGTAATAATAGCTACGCAGTGTTTATCCTTGTATATGAGAACCAATTCATTTTTTTCACTCATAAGTCTCATTATTTGTTTTTCGAAAAATTGAATAGCATCTGCCTTCGACGTGGCAATCAATATTTTCGCTATTTCCAAAAAAAATGGCTTTGGGATTTCTTACGCAAAAACTGTTTTGCTGTGTGTATGAAATTTGGTGGGATCTACTGCAATTCAATGAAAAGAAGTGGTTCCCTCCGCCGTTGCGTCGAAGAAATATTGCTTGTGAAGGGAAAAAGATTTGCAAACGAACTCGGTATTTCTGTTTTTTTTGTGGGAAAATCTGCGACACTAGAATAACTTGTTTTCATAAATACATGCCTGAGTACTATTGACCGCAGAAGGAAGGAAGGGCAGGATCTGGTTAGATGATATCTGAAAGTCGAAATAGTAGCTTCCTATTCGAATAATCAATCCGATTTCCCTTCCATTCCTCTATAACAGGGGGCAAAAAAGACATTTTGCCCAGGTCGCACTTCGACCTTTTCTTCTTCACAGATTGCCGTCGTTGACGGAAGTCCCACAGCAAAATATTCCCCAAATGTCCCTCTATAAGTACGCAGGTCCTCCTTCACTACCCTCACCGTCTCCATCCACCGTGCGTCCGATCTCAGCGGGCTCCATAAATGTCTGCTGATGGGCTTCTTACATAATTTCTTGGATCGATTCAACGTGGGATAGTTTTCCTAGGGACATTAGCTCTAACTATGCAAACCCCCTCGGAACCCGCCCTTCGGAACCCGTCGTAACGGTACACGATCAGTCGAGAACCCCATTGAGCTCGACCAGAGCACCATGTTTCCGGGGCAAACTTTTCTGATGCCGTCCACGTAGATGGCCACTATGAAGATTTTCTTATGAAATGAAATGCGCTCTTCAATTCTAAGTTGGGAGCACACGCTTTGAGCTGACAAGGGAAGGATGGTAGGTCGAAGTGGCCGTATAAATGAAATGTATACCACTGATGCGTCTCCAGACGCTGATTCCAAATCTGCCTTCCAAATCTGCTAAACGACTCTCCGAACGGAGTTATGAAGCGTAATAGCTCAGTGGTGATGGTCCGGGCTCCTCGGACGATTCGCTTTTGCAAATTGGTTGCTTTGCTTTTGTCTCTAAGAAGTGTTGCGGACAAAGCAAAGCAACAAACTTTGCAAAGGAAACGATCCTACGAGCTTTTACCTGCCACCCCGGACCATCACCACTGAGCTATTACGCTTCATAACTCCGTTCGGAGAGCCGTTTAGCAGATTTGGAAGGCAGATTTGGAATCAGCGTCTAGAGACGCATCAGGTGGTATACATCTCATTTTATACGGCCACTTCGACCTACCATCCTTTCCTTGTTAGCAAGTGGTGATTAATCCATTTGAGTCTGGAGACGAAAATATCTTTTTTTTATTGCCCCCCCCCCCTGTAAATCTTATAGAACACGGCAAGAAGAGCGCCGAGTTCATACCTCACACCACAAGTTACGGCGGCCAAGAAAGAAGAAAAGAAAAGCCACTTTTTTCCGGCCGTCATCACTTGTGGTGAATTGTCTGCAGACGCTTCTAGTTTTCCCAAAGAGATAGATGTTCTGTGCGCAGTTTCAATCAAAAACACTTTTTTAACGGAATGTTTTGAATGCCTAGATGTAGGTTTTCCGAAAACAAGTGTATCCGAGGAGTGTGGTGGGAGTATCAAGGTAAATATGCAGTTTCGTTGAATTCTTGCTCGATGGGACATCTAAGCTCTATTTTGCATAAATCAAGAATTTAGGTGTTAAGGCTTTATAAAATGGCTGTGAGAAAATGATTTCTAAGTAGGCCTAGGCACTCCCTCGCGATCAATATATTTTTTGCCGCTTGTGAGTAGCAAAGTTTTTCCTCCACGCCCCTTAGGTGGCATTCCTGAGCAGAATACCACCTAAGGGGTGTAAAATTTGGCACCACATAACTACATCTCATCTGCAATCCAGTCACAATGGAGCTTCGGCTTAACCACTAGTACAAGGCTCGAGCGCTAATTAGGGGATGCATTGCCTTCGCATCGTTCTCTTTTTCCATAGTCAAGTTTCGGAAGGATTTCTTTGGAGGCAACTTCATGTGTTCCTCAGAAACTCTTTATTGGTTACCAGTGATGTCAAGTTCTCTCATCTCACCTGCTTTATTGCAGCTTGCAAACGAAAAGAGGAGCAGCAGGTGCAGCACAGTCCAGCCTCAGCCTCCCAAGAAGCCTCGCCTGGTCTTCACTGACATTCAGCGAAGGACGTTGCAAGTTCGTATCTTTGCTTTCATCTCTTTATTGTTTTTCTTTTCTCTTTCGAATCAACGATTCCGATGAGGTCACATGGGCTCTGTGGTTCATATTTCCCTTAAGTAGCTTCTGCTGCGTATGAATACAGAAAATTTTGCCAAATTTAATTACGGAATTGGATTTAGCATCACCCGATGTCTGGCACAGTGGATAAGTCTCTATGAAACACTCCCTCCATCAAACACGACTGTTAAGTGCTTCTAGTCATCCCCGAAAGTTTGCTCGAAGATCAATTGAACGAAAAAGGTTGCTTTGAACCACTGCGCTATTCCGTTCCAACCGTTGCATAGGTTTCTGGGGAAAGTAGTGAATGAACAGTGGAACAAAGAGATTGATTGCTGAAAATTATTGCTCATATCGAGCATGAGTACGCTTGAGCTTAGCGTACTTCTAACAATCTGAATATTCAATGCGTTTGCACATTAATATATTATAAACTTAAAGGCATACTCCGTGGTAACGGAACGTGACTAAGTGGATTGAAAAATATAACATTGGACATCCGAAAAAAGAGAAAAACTAAAGGAAAGAAACTATAAAAATGCTTGTTTTGCGTTTATTGTGGGCGGCGAGAAAGCGAGAGAAAATGCAGACAAGTGAGACGCAGACAGGCGCAGAACAGTCATTGAGGTGGACCTCATAACATTAAGGACCCTATATCGTTGTTACTAAGCAGGATTTTGCTGCAGTGTTGATATATTTGATATATTTCACATTTTGTAGCAAGCGTACGTTCTCGCCTGTTTCACACATTCCACAAAACTATTGTGGAATGTGTCTTTAAGTAATTATGGATGTTCCTTTTTTACTAATTATTATTTGCATTTATGCGTTGTTCGTTATTTTCAAATCAGTTCAGAAAAGAGTACACTTGATGATTTGATTCGACACAATTATAGTACCTTCTACCACCACCTACCTAAGTCCCTAAAATGCTTTTTCTTCTTTCTTTCTTTTGTAATTCATCGATGATGATGAATTAACACTGCCTTGCTCTTAAATGCACTCATCTGGCCAGTTATATGTGTGTAATTTCCAGCTACCAGAGCGCTGATTACTCATAATAACAAAATGATTATCAGGAGACGATCCGCGTAGTGAAAAGTCCTGATTAGTCGCAATTTTCTCCCTCTTACCCGAATTTTTGTTCTTGCCTTCGCTTGTTGCGTGTGCCGGTTTCTTATTCATTCATCTGCGCTTGCTGACAAATCCATATTAAAATAGTGTATAGGCTGGCGCTAAGATGAATGCAATATAATTTTTGCACATTCAAACACTAGCAATGCCACCTTTGAATTTTATCGGGTCCCCATTACCTTGCCCGGGGGGTCATCCCGGCACGACCCCTTAACCATTCCCGCCCAGCTTACTCTCCATCACATCTGGTTTTTTAGTCCTTTAGTATGATTAGGAGTCCAGTCAACGCAGGCCAACTCCGCCTATTCTCTTTCTTGAAATTTCCCGATAACCGTAAAAAATACCGTCAAAAATGACACCCCCTCACCTCCGACGCCCTTTCTCGCACGCCCACTACAACAACCCCTTCAATTTCCACACTTACAATTCTCTCGATCTTTTTACTTAGCCAACCTCTACAAACTACCCCCCCACTGTTTTTTCTATTCAAAATCGCAAAATAATCCATCCCCCCATGGTACTCGATCGGTGGTACTACTCGTACCTACTGTATAATAATAATGTAGTCTCTACTGTAGAATATTCACTGATCATTTGTAAGAATGCTGCCCTCTTTGCTTAATTTGAAGAAAGCCCCGCATGCTGGATGCCTCCCATGGAAGCGCTGAAACACTAGGAGAGGTATGCTGACCGACACGCTGAAATTTAGATCAATATTTTCTAGCGCAAAGTCAGTCCTAAAATATACTTTTCTTGAAGCTCTCTGGCTTAGTTTTCATAGTGAACGTTTTGTAGCAAAATCAATGAGATTGAGCATAACGTCATTTTAAACTCCACGCACATAATCTCTCCTTTCAGCATACTTTTGAGGATGTGAAGTACCTTTCACAGAACTAATTCAGGAATAAGCGCAAAGTTTGTACCAGCGCATTTCTGGGAGTTCCCCATTCCACAATGAAACATTGATTTGCAATCATCAAATACTGAAATGTAAGGATTCTATTAGCCGCACTTTTTTTCTGCTTAATTTGGTCCCTATACATTCAAACATTTGCGCGCCAGATTTTAGCACGGAAACATTCATTTTGTTCAATTTTTAGGTATTTTTCATGTGTAAAAGTGTATGTCTATTTCACAGGATCGAGAAAGTGGTGCTTTCATTAGAAATAGCAAAATTATTAAGGTACATATAATAATGGTTTGAAAAAAATAGTCAAACAAGGTGCCGAGACTCACGCCTAAAGAGCTGTCACCAGTGTCAGATATTTTCACCACTATTTCTCACTTCTTAGCCTCTTTGTACTGCGAAAACTCTCAGTCTAGTCTATTTCACCTGATCACTAACATGTTTACATTATTTTGAAGGGTTATCACTCTCGCATTATTCCAACGGTTACTTAAATCACTTTTGTACTTCACTATTTCCTTACCGCTGTAGCATAAGCAAGTTTAGAGCGCCGCCGTAATCGAGGTATGCACCATTAGCTCGGGTTTGACTAATAGGGAAATAAATCAAAGGTTGTTGACATTTGCATCGGAGATCTAATGTTTCTCGAAAATTGCTTGTACTATGTATTCTGCGTCCTGTCCAGAATATAGGTAGCCAGAGCAGTGGGTAACGGTCGAGGAATCCTTGAAGGGGAGTCCTAGGAGGGAGCGTAGGTATGCTCAGTGTTCACAGTTGTAGAGACTACGGTTAAGTGGGAAAATCGCGAAACGTAAAATTTGCTGTTTTTTAACAGTTGCATATACCCCCGTTGCCGCAGCTGTGGGCGAAGTTGGTTGTGCGTCGATAGTAGTAGGGCC